AGGACAACCTGTGCGCCAACTGAACGGTGGCCACCGATATCTGTATGCCAGCCCTGTTCACTCCAGATCACCACTCCTGCCTTGTAAATAGCTTTTGGGTTATCAAGATTGCGATGGAAAGCATCACCTTTCCACTTGATGAAGGACTATGGCTTAATGATTAAACAGCCATATCCTTCCAATGGAAAAAATAGCACCTAGCAAAGATCTAACTTCTCCTCACAGTCCACGCAACATAATGGGTCAACACATTGAGAAACAAGAAGCTTCTTCAGTTCTGACCGGATGGTGGGGAACAGAAGGATTTATACTCCTTGCAGACAGCTGGTCAGTTGCCTTCTTTTAGAGAGCCGTTGAGGCCACTTGGAGGTTTACCTGTGTTCTCAAGGTCACCTGAGTGATGCAAACAGGTGAGAGCCTTCTTGGAATTGCTTTCAGCACACCCGTTTGCACCACTCAGGTGACCCTGAGGACACAGACAAACCTCCAAGTGGTCTCAACGACCCTCTAAAACAGTGGTTCTCAACCTTTTTAATGTTGCGACCCCCAACCGGTGGTAAGTCAAGGACTACTCAACCCGTCGTAAGTCGAGGACCACTCAACTGGTGCAGCACCGTTTGCAGAGTGGGACTTTTGGTGGGCTCAGCAGGGCAGAGACAGCCTGGACAATTCCTATTGGCTTTTGAAAGAGAGTCTATTCTATTGGCTTTCAAAGCCAATAGAATAAAAGGGAGTAGCACAGCTAAGGAAAAGGGGGAAAAAAATGGCAGACTGCGTTGTTTGGCGACCCCCGTGAAATGGTCGTTCGACCCCAAATGGGGTCCTGACCCACAGGTTGAGAACCACTGCTCTAAAAAAAGACAAATGACCAGCTGTCTGCAAGGAGTATAAATCCTTCCGTTCCCCACCATCCAGTCAGAGCTGAAGAAGCTTCTTGGATGAGAAGCGAAACGTCTTCAGAGAAGAAACAAAGTCCAGTTGTCTCTTGAAAAGGCACCTTTGGGAGAGGTAGGGTTATAAATGGGGAGGGGAGCTTTTCCAGAAGAGAGCCCACACCCTAAAGCTATCTGGCTTCAGAGCCCCACTGATAGCATTCTCTAGGCATAAAGGATCCATAGCAAATCATCTCTTGAATCTCCTTGGTTCTGGCAGCTTGCACCATGTGTCTTTCCCTACAATGACATTTTAATTTAAGGTAACCTACGCACATTACCCGCTTTTGCTGATCACACATTTTTTTCGGGATTGATTTATTTGCCCGCTTGGGGGCCCTGCCTACCAGGGTGGAGATTTGACTCTCCTGAAACCGGAATAAAAGTTAAGAGAGGCCCCCGAGGTTTGTGATGCAACCAGCCATAAATACCACTGTAGAACAGACAGTTAACTTTGTCAAGCAAGTTGTGAAATGTAGAAAATTCCCATAGAGAGGTAGCTCTGACTTGTTTAAAGTTAGAAAAATGATGGCCGTGAGATGCCAAACTTCAGCTAAACATGGCCTGGAAAGCAAATCAAACCCGTCTCGGTAGCAAGGGTGTTTGCTCGGGGAATATTAAACGGCCCCAAAGCCTCCTTCATCACAAAGGACTTTATCCAAACCAAAGTTAAGCAGGCCGAGGCTTGCTACAGGCCATAGTAAAATGGCCAAAAGCCAAAGCAGAACTAGGCTATTGACCCTTTCTCTCTGCTTGTATCTCTCTCTCACACACACATTCTAAATGCCAATTTCTTGCAGGAAGCCTGTGATGCACAACTCTGAAGCAAGTGGCCCCTGAATTCAAATATTTGGCGGCTAAATTCCAATCAAAAAGTGGACTTCAGCCTTGTCTCTTTGCAAATTTTGGAGACCAGACTGTTTCTCCTCTCCCTGCCCCAATTTCCTTTCCTATTCAGATTGTGCTTTCTGTTCTTCCCTTGAGCCTTTCCTATCCTTCCTATTCGGTATGAGATTTTAAAGCGTCCGCTTAAAAAGGAAACCATCTGATAAATGAAGGTTGCTGCGTCCCAAGGTCACATGATCACCCTTTGCCATCTTCCAAGCCGGCTTATGACACGCAAAATCAATGGGGAAGTCAGATTCAATTAACAACTGCAGTGATTTGCTTAACAACTGAGGCAAAAAAATGGTCCTAAAGTTGGGGACGACTCAGTTAACGAGGGATGGAAATTCCAATCCCAATTGTGATCGTAGTTGAGGACTATCGGTATATTCAGGCTGTTAACTGGAGAGGTTTCAATAAGCAACATGTGACTTGTGACCCTTGGATCTGTGAAGCTTTCATGTGCAGGAGCAGTCTACCATCAAATATCACCATCGGAGGCCGATCCAAGAGAAACCCCAACTTTTTCCTCATTCAACTTATGGAACTTTCAGATGCGCCTCATAGCAACTCTTTGCTGGATTAAGCAGGCCTTTAAACTGAATCTGACAAGTTTCTGACATCAATCCATCCATGTTACATTTCACAAGGGAGGGCGAGTTTTAAATTGAGACACAGTCCGCAGAAAGGTGAGGCTGGAAAGTCTGTCTGGGGAGATACACCCTCACCCCCACCCCGAATAAATGTCCCACTGGACCACCTCCCTTGAATAAAAGAGTCTCTTCGCTTTTCCATAAACTTGGTTAGGAAGTAAACCAAGATCCCTCAACTGCTATAACCCCCGGTAGATTAGTCTGCGCAAGCTCAGGGACAGGAAATGGAGCTTGCGACTGACAGCAGAAAACAAAATTCCGATCCCTAGCTCAGATTCAACTCTAGCCGGGTGCAAATTGCGCAGCCTTTTTCCTGCAACGACCGCGGAACTCGGCGAAGTTTTGACAAGGAGGGAAGCGGGGCTGGTCCCGGCTGCTTGGACCACTTATCCCCAGGATGATGGGCACCCAATCTAAGGCAGTCAAGGAAATTCGGGGTGCGGGGAAGGACCTCTGCGCCCGAACCTGAACCTCCTCCGAAACGAAGGCCACGCGCACTCACCTGCCAGGAAGAGCTTCGCCCAAAGCGCTGCGCCCGCCTGTTGCTCTGCGCCCCAGCCGCTGCCCGGTTGCGCAAGACCCGCTACGCCCCCCCGTCCCGCCCGGGGAGAGGCCACCGCTGGAGACAAATAAAAGCCGCTCCTTTCAGCCGCTGCCTCGGGTCGGGGAGGAGCCGCGGAGCAGGAAGAGAGCAACCGGAGGTCAGGCGCGGAGCTGGCAAGCCGAGGGTTCCGGAGCGCACGCAGAGCGCTCGCTCTTTTTCGTGCCAAGTTCTGGAACTGCAGCGCCTCGGCTGCAATCGCCCCGCGCGTCTGCGGCTGGCTTTAAACCTTGGGGAGGGGAGGGGGTGCATTGTCTGGTGGGCGGGGGTGGGATGGAAATCAGGTGTTTGAACCCCCGGCACCTTTTTTCTTACCTGCCCGACTCGGGATTGCGCTGCTCCGCAAAGCCTGCGCGGCCGCGAGGTCAAGCGGCTTTCCTCGTTAAGTGCTTTCGCCTTGCCAAGTTTTGCGCCCCCCGCCCCAGCATATCCTGCAATCCTTGACGGCTGCCGACAGTCTGGAGCGCTTGGGGTTTTTTTTAGAAGTGTTGGCTGGAGATGGGGGGGGGGGGGTTGGAGTCCACTCCAGAGGCTTGGAAGAAAGGGGCTTTGGGAACATCTGTTCCTGGTAGGTTATTCTTCCTCCAATTCAGAGCCCTCCAGATGTGCTGGCTAGAATTGCCTAGGCTGCATGCTCCAGGAGCTCCAGAAGTTATACCTACGGGTCTTCTTGCCTGTCTCCCCCCCCCCCCCGCACAATCGCCATCCTTTCTCACCTTGTGCTGAAAAAGGGGGATTGACCTAAATTCACCCTAAGGCCTTTCATGGTGGAAGGTGGACTTCAACGTGGCCTTCCCTGATGCTGATCCAACATCCTCCCAGCTATTGCACGTGGACGCTCTAAAACAGGGGTCCTCAACCTTGGCGACTTTAAGACTTGTGGACTTCAAGTCCCAGTTGGCTGGGGAATTCTGGGAGTTGAAGTCCACAAGTCTTAAAGTTGCCAAGGTTGAGGACCTCTGCTCTAAAACCTCAATGGCAAACATTACCACGCTGAACATGATGGCACAACTCCTGATCCCTGACAAGCTGCCTCAGAAACTCTTCCGACTTGACATTCTTGCGGGCAGGAGGAAGGCAGTTGTAATTTTTCTCCTTACAGTATCTGCATCCGCATCAAAGCACAACTCAACTCCTGATCCCTGACAAGCTGCCTCAGAAACTCTTCCAGTTACTTGACATTCTTGCGGGCAGGAGGAAGGCAGTTGTAATTTTTCTCCTTATAGTATCTGCATCCGGCATCAAACTAGTTGCTATTTGTAGATTTGACACCAAAAGTAGGTTGTGGTTGATTCTGGAGACATGGAGAGGAGTTTGAGGAAACTCCCAAAACTTATGGAAAGGAACTGTGAGCGCCTGTTACAGACCGATAACAACGTATCACTCTTGAGCAGTAATGTCCCCATAAACAGGAAAGATAAAGATCTTTGTTGCGGCATTTGATAGCGAGAAAAAGTAGGATATAAACAGACATAGCCGGAACAGATCTGGCTGCGACCATGAATGCTTTTATACTTAGAGCTGCTTGACACTAGGAGTTGTTCCAAGGGTTCACACAATTATGAGCACCGAAGTCTTTGGCAAGATTTGTAAAAGGGTTTTGCCAGGACCTGCTCAAGTCTATTTCCAAACCAGTGACTGATCTGAAGGCTCCCAGACACCTTCTGTGCCCAGACATGGTTTTCTTGTTCCTTTAACTATCAAACAGCCTAGTGTTCTGAAGATGTTGATTCAATTTCCCAACATGGTTGTGTAGAGGGAGTCCACCATTAAAATGACGACAAAGCAGGGGTGGAAACATAGCTGAAAACACCAACAGGGAAGTTGAGCTGAGACCTGAGTCCGTGAATCATGCTTTTAAACCCCAGTGAAGGAAGGATCTCCATTGTGTAGGATAACATAAAACTCACATAAAACATAAAACTCGGCTTTTGTTGTATTATCGTTTGCTGATCTTCTATTTTAATCAAACCACATAATCTAATTGTATTTATAATTGATTATAAAAATGAGTTTGATGCTAGGTTTATTACAATGTCTCTATACCTCTGTTTCTTATCCGTAGCAACTTTAAAATGTATGAAAGTTAAAGTCCATACGTCATAAAATTGCCGAGGTTGAGAAACGCTGACCTACCCCTCTTCTTTTTCTTCTTTCTTTCTTTCCTTTTTTCCCTTTCTTTCTCTATTTTTCTTTTGTTTTTCTTTCTTTTTCTTTCTCTATTTTTCTTCTTTCTTTCTTTCTTTCTTTCTTTCTTTCTTTCTTTCTTTCTTTCTTTCTTTCTTTCTTTCTTTCTTTCTTCCTACATCTCAGTTCTGTTTGCTGGTTGAGAATAATACAATCACACCAATTTCTCCCCAGAGGCAAGCAGACTTTTTTTAATCACGCATTTTGTTGCCTGGCTACAGTATTACAGATCATGCTTGATGGACCCCCAAATTACAGTCACCAAAACAGACTGGATTTTAAACCGAGAAATATTTGTGGCGACTGACATAAAAGCAACAACTGCTGAGAACACAAGAGGGAGCCTTCAGACTGCCACCAGCATTCAACTGGGCAATCCAGTGTTGACACTGTTCTTTTCTTGTCGTGCTACCTGTGTGTTTGATATTGAGGCTGCACATCCAGAATTCTAATGCTGCTTGTTACCAAATGTCTCCTTCAAAGTTGAATCGAACTGATGGGCGCGAACTTCCTGGCATTTCCCAAGAATGTGTTTATTTCCTGAAATTAGATGTTGGGCAAGACATGCCTCTACCTTACACCGTTTCTGAATGGATGTTTCTTCTGTTGTCCCATCATTTCTTAACCCAGCAAGATCCTATAGAAGCAATGAGGTCCTAGCTAAGATATTCTACTTGCCTGTCTTTGGAGAATCTGAACTCAGAAGGCTGCCATAAGGATTTCTGCCCGTGCTCCCTGCAGTTGCAAAGCTTCCTCCCTCAGCAAGGGGATATGGATAGATGGGTGATAACCACCCTGAAGTGTGCTGTAGAGTACGTTTAATGAGGTAGAGTTAACCATTAAGGAACACATCTGGGTTTGGGACAGGTGCACACCAATGGAGGCCTTGTGAGATGTTGCAATTAATGCCGCAGAGAAGGAGATTCCAATCTTGGCCACTTTAAAGACTTGTGGACTTCAATTCCCAGGATTCCTCAGCCAGCCATGCTGGCTGGGGAATTCTGGGAGTTGAAGTCCACAGGCCTTAAAGTGGCCGAAGTTGGACACCCTACCACAGAGTATCCTATTTCTTCAAAACATAACCTGACCCAGCAATATTAGCAAAGCATTAATCAAAAAGGGGTTAAGAGTAGCTAATGTAGTACACTTTCCGTTCCTAGCTCCTTGCTTAACGGCAAGATAGAAACGTAAAGACTGTAGTAATACTTTCCTTGGCAAAACAGAACAGAAGAGTGCAAGGAGGTCATTGTATCCCCAGAAAGTCCAAAGGTGGTTATAATTAGCACAACAAGTCAAAACGTGTTGGGCTTTCATGTCCTTTTTGCTGGTTTGGCAGTTAATTGTTTTTCTCTTTCCAGCTCCTTCTCCCGCTGCTGTTCTCGCTCTAGTTCGTCCTTCTGTCGTTTCTGCTGGAGTTTGAGTGCTCTTCTCTGAAAGAAGGAAGCATCAGAAAGCCAAAGGGTTATACGGGAGGATATCACAGCTTTGATATTAGAGTAGAATAGAGCTGGAAGGGACCTTGGAGGTCTTCTAGTCCAGCCCCCTGCTCAGGCAGGAGAACCTATAGCCTCTCAGACAGGTGAATGTCCAGTCTCTTCTTAAAAATTTCCAGTGATGGAGCGCCCACGATCTCTGGGGGGTAAGCTGTTCCACTGGCTGATTGTCCTCACTGTCCTCACTATTCTGCTATTGTTTTTCACAGGTCTCTTAGCTTTTATTTCCTCCTCTTCATATAGTATTAAAAGGGATCCTGAAAAAGAGCTTAGTTTCATTCTATAAAGGTACATCGGTTTCAAGGTTATAGCCAGTCCTTCCAAACAGGTCTTTCTAGTCTCTTTCCCTGATCTTTAAAACACATTTTGATTTTCCAATTGTACAGTTGAAAAGATTCAAAGCCCTTTTATAAACCTTAAAGAAAAATTGTTGTAGATCTGCATTTTACTTTTTGCATTTATGCACACTTTGTGTCCTCTGAACTGTGCCAGGTTCACTATTCTGAGAAGAGCTGATTTCCTCAAGAGGAAACACTGTACACAATGTCCATGAACTGCAATTCTAAATTCTAAACAATAGTTTTTTAAAAAAAATTACAGAGCCTTACAAAATTTTCGTGACCTGGTTCGCTAGGTCACGTGACAATCCAGTATTTTGTTTTCGTCTTTTTGCTAGAATTTATAAGAGAAACCTATTTCCTCAGATATCATTTATAAGCAAATATCCCCCAGTCCAAGCTTATGAATATTTACTGAGAAATAAGTTTCACTTTGTATTAGTGGATGTAACAATACATAGGATTACATCTTTAATCCATGACAGGCCTCATATGCAATTACTGAATTATTTTACCGAGAAATTTTGCTGAAGGCAGAGAACGGGCTTCGCTGGTAATGGATTAAATTAAACCTGATATTAAAAGATGAAATTTGAATTTGAAGGAATGGCAACATTTTAAAAACTAAACACGCATGAAAATAATAATTTAGAATGGAGTTATTTAGAAAACATAGGACTTTTGATTTGATCTGCAAGACTAAAGAGTCAAAATGTGTATCAACAATGTACATTTGTCCACTAGCTAAGTGAAATAAAACTCACTTTCAATTTTGATGTCTTCTCGTGCAGCATCAACATCTCTTTCCTAATGTTTACCAATTTATTGTGATAGTATTTTGCTTCTGAAAACTTAAAAAGAAGACAACACTTAGTGGAAATAGAAACTTATAGTGTGTCTAAAACAAATCTGAGTACCTTAAAAAAACAGTAACTTGTTTTTTGAAGATATTAAAATATACGTAAAAACTATTCTAGGTACACCCAAAGGTGCTTTTCAAGAGGCAACTGGACTTTCTTTGTTTTCCACAAAGAAAATCTAGTTGCCTCTTGAAAAAGCACCTTTGGGACAACCATGATCTGGATGACTGAGAATCCAGATATTCTAGGTACAGTTCCTTAAAAGAAGGCTTAATGCAGTTAGAGGTATCTATCTGTAAACTGCTCAGAGTCACTTGGATAGTGAGATGGGTAGTGTATAAATTTGATAAATGTTTGATAACTAAATCAATCTCCATAAAAAAATACTACAATGTAAAGTCAGTACAGTGAGGCTAGAGTTCACTAAAAACAAAATATAGAATCTTTTCATGAACTCTGAAAGGCTACAGAATACCAAAAGCTACTTCTGAAGCCCTTCAGAGCAATATATTGTGTTTTCCATGATTTACTGAACTTAGCTCCATCCATCGATAATAATTTTCATCGTTAGAAGCGAAGTCTATTATCTCCTGAACCATATGCACAGTCAGAGTGCTTCTACATGCCTAAATCAATTCAAGATCAAACGGCTTCCGTTTTAGTACATGAAAACATATACACTCATTGCCGGATGTTTGCAATTAGTACAAGATACCATTGTACTGTTATATAAACAAAATACTTCATGTATTTCTGCAGAAATGGGAAGATCAACAGCCACAGTCTTCCAATTAAGTCAAATCTAACAAAAACACACTTACCAGCATGTTGATATCAAGAACTGAATTACATTCTTTAAATTTTGAAATTTCCTGTTGTATGGTTTCTAATAGTACTTCCTGGTTCTGTCTGAAAGAATAGAACAATTTAAAATGCATTTTGAAATCAGTGTTAAGAAAAATAAAGTACTGATATGAAAATTTCCATTTTAGAAATGCTGAATGCTATCTCCCTCGAGATTCAGTAGCTTTTCCAAATGAATTATACCACCCACTTCTATAAACATCTCAGCTTGATATGGTAGACAAAGAAGTGCAAACAGTGCTGTATATCCCTGTAATAAACATGGAAATATTTTTGATCTTTCAACACGAAACTCAGTTAAGAAGAAGATTAATTCTAATACCAAGCTATGGGTCTGGGGTTTGTACCATATATAAAAGACTATTTTTTAAAAGTTACCTACGTGAGTTCTTTTAAGGCTAGTTTTGATCGTTGTAGGTCAGGCAAATAATGTGAAATCAGCCCTTCTGTTAATTGCTCCACAGCTTTCTTATCTACGACAGGAAAGTCATCTACTAGGGCTTCATCAGGAGAATTATCATTAAGATCTAAAACAAAGGGGTTGATAAAAAAAACTGTTAACAGAAAATTTCTGAACCAAGAACTCTCAGAATGATTGCACTGTTTTTAATTTCCAGTTATCCTACTGGCAGCCTGATGTTATTAGTGCCTCTTAAAAATGAGTTATCTTTAAATGGAAAATCATTAAATAAACAGAGACTTCACTGGTTAGAGAACTCTGTAGCAAGAAACCTTACTTCATTTTAAAATGTTTCATAGATGTGAGGCTAGTAACAAGAACTGAACTATAACACCATTTTTCATACTAAAAAATGAAAGATCTACAACTGCATGCTACTCTGTTTGATTAAGTGCTAATAGTATAATTATTTATCCTGTATTCTTAGCTCAGAGCTCATTAGCAAGAAGGACCACATATACTACTGCAGTTTTAGTTTTGATACAGGTCATTCTGGACATATAACCACAATTGGGATCATAATTCCCATTGCTAAGCAAAGTGGTTGTTAAGTGAATTATGCCTGATTTTATGCTTTTTTGTTGCTATGTTTTTTCAGTGAACCACAGCAGTTGTTAAATGAATCAGGCAATCATTAAGCACGGCAATGCTGAGAGGGTAATAGGGCCATAAGTGTGAAGACTGGCCATAAGTTACTTTTTTCAGCCCTGCTGTAATTCCTAATAGTCACTAAATAAATGGTTATAAGTCAGGGACTACCTGTGCTTAGGATTTGCTGTTTATCTTACTAATTCTCAATAACATGGACAGATGGAGAAAGAAGCTGAACTAACAGCGTGTTTCTTCTACTTCTTAAGTGATTTATTGCCCAGAGGAATTTCCTACTGTTGTGGGGATAATACTGCAATTAAGTTAATAACCAAAGCAATTTGGAGAGAGGCAACAAAGTGTGTTTACTAGCATGCATAAACTACTGTGCATTGATCGCTGAGTTCCTTGCCAAAGGATTGCCAAAGAGCCCTGCCCAAAGCAAAACTACAGGTTGTATAGGTTAATTACATTAAGCACTATACACACCCATGTAAATATATACACAACGTGAAAAATATTTAGGTGTGAATGTTTTTATAAATGTTATATATTCGTGTATGTGTATAAAACTGTACATGATGGGTGGCTATGTAAGTGTGTGTGTGTGTGTGTGAGAGAGAGAGAGAGAGAGAGAGAGAAAGAGCGTCTGTGTCTATATATACATATAGGGATTTGGCAAAACCTTTTATGTGTATATGTATATGTGTGTGTGTGTGTGTACATATACACATATACATATAAACGGTTTTGCCGAAACCTATATATATATATATAAACACACACACACATATGTGTGTGTATACATACACATGCAAAACTTTACACACATATATACACACATACACAAAATCTTGCACACACATATACACACATACATAAACACACACATATGTAAGATTTTGTGTGTATATACATATAGAGATAGGAGATATATACACACTATACACACACACACACACACACACACACACACACACAGAGGAGCTTGGCTCCTTGGACTTCAAGTCCCATCACCCCCAGCGGGCTTCGGCCTACCTCGCGTTTCAAGTCCACCTACCTAAGGCGGGGTTGTTCAGGGCTCCGGGCGGCCATCCCGCCTCCACCTCCGGCGCCTCCGCCAAACTCATCGCCTACGCTCGAGGGCCGCGGCTGGACTAACCCCGCAGGAAAGCCGCCGCCGTCGCTGCTAAGTCTCCCGGCCTGACCGAGGCGTAGCGAGCCCGGCCGAAGCTCCTCCAGGCGGCGATGTCAGGGAAAGGGCCCTCGAGGCGGCTTCACCGGACTCCCGAGTCGCCGGGATCCCCTCCGGGGCGTAGGGAGCGTGAAGTACGAGAGCAGCAGGCCTCAACCTCGCAGGAGAGTAGGCCTTCCGTCGATGCACGGGCGAGAAACGCCCGGAGGAAGCTAGAGATACGAAAGTAAGAGTAGCCACGGCGCCCGAGCGTCAAAAGTGAACTTCCGGGTTCATTATGTAAATTGTATTCCCCCCCCCCCAATAATTCCCAAATGATTTGGAAAAAGTGAGCTGCCCTTTGAAAATCAGGGAGACGAAGGAAATTCGCATTAGAGGAAAGAGGGGTCATACTGTGCCATCAGATCATCTTTCGTAAAAAGGGGATTATTTGTTAGCTATTAAAGCCATTTGCCAAACTTTACAACAATGCTGCTCTTCTCTCATTATTTTTCCATTTGTTAAAAATGTATAGGTTTCCCATATTCCCATCTATATCTCATAGCTTTAACACTGTTTTATATGTATGTATGTATATCAATATGTCACTTTTATAATATGGTAAATGTCGATCAATGTCACCTGTGCCAATAAAATCTCGGGGAGAGGGTTTCCTGCAATAGTTTTAAAAGTGGGAAAGAGTTGACTCTAAAGCAAAAAGTTTAGGTAATACTTAGATACAAATACTTAACAAAATACTTAGCATACATCTATATAACTGTATAGTTACAGTTATATACAGTTACTTAACTATATATAAATACTTCACACATATCTACATAACATACGTCTATACAACTGTATCCATTAGCTGTAACTATATAATGTTTCTGAGACAAATGTGCAAATACACACACAAACAAACGCAACTATTTCTTCCTTACGTGCAGAAATCAGCGGTTTTCCTTTTTTTTTTTTAACCCCGAGATTTTTGTGATTGGTTGCTCTATGTGATTGGTTGCTCTATCCTTCCCCCCCCCCCTTTTTATCTCTATCTCTCTAAATAGAACCTTAATGCTGGGGCGCCGAAGTACCTGGCTGCTAGGCAGAGTGGGTGGGTTGCCATAGCAACACCAGCTGTTCAGAGAACGCCCTGGGCCCTTTCCATTGGGGATGCTCTTGTCAGTTCCAGCCCCTCTGTTAGTATCTGCAGGGCAGCTTATGCCTCCCTGTTAATTCTGAGTGCCCAGGGGTGGATAGCAGGTTTTTCAAAATAATCCTTAAGGTTGAGTTATGGTAATTGGTTGGGAAATTGATTTTCTAGAACTGCATGGTGGATAAGAGGAGTCTGTTATCCTATGCAGTGCACCACCCTTTTAGGTTTTGAAGGATGCTCAGATATTGAGGTCAGCTAAAAGGCTTTTGCCTCTTAATTCCTAACATGAACAAGATATAGTTGTCTATTTCCCTTCAGATGCTGCATATAATTGTTAAACTCTTTCTGGCTCAGTCTGTGAATATCTAGGGCAGTGGTTCTCAACCTTTCTAATGCCGGGACCCCATAATACAGTTCCCCATGTTGTGGTGACCCCCAACCACTTATACATCACCGGGTGCCAGGGGCGTGGCCAAAGAAAAGGGAAAAATGGCGGACAGCCTTGTCTGGCGACCCCTGTGAAATGGTCATTTGACCCCAAATGGGGTCCAGACCCACAGGTTGAGAACCACTGATCTAGGGGATATCAATGTTTGAGTGTAGTTGTAACTAAATTGCATTGCTGATATTTGTCTATTTGCCCTTTGAATGGTGAGAGAACCAGCACCATCAAAATATCAAGTGGTGTATTATAGCTTGAACATCTTTGTGTGTGGATTTGCTTCTCGCCACCCTAAGAATTACAACAGAGTATTACAACTCCTTGTTTTCTAGCAGTGGATAAATCTTGGCTCAGCTTAGAGGACTAGGATTCAAAATCCTTAAAAAAAACATTTGTGGGGGACCTGGACTTCAAACATTTTGAAAATGCTTTATACCCCAGAATTGCATTTGTATACTGGATCAAGTGCAAATATATCCAGGTATGTAATTAGTTAACAGGTGAGAGAGAATAAAAACAGGGAAATAAAGTGTGTTTATTTATAAGCAGGAAGATTACAGTTCTGACAAAGCCAGAAAAATTGCCTGTGCATGTAGATGATTGAGAGGTTTGCTTTAGTTATCAAAACAAAGCTTTATCCTTAATACAGGGCCTAAAAGCTTGAATAGAATTGCTTAAAATAACAGAGGGCCTTCAAAGTTTCTATTTCCAGCTTCATCCTCCAAGAACAACTGTCCCAGTTATAGATCTCCTTGATTCACACAGGCTGATTATTACAAGATGTGAAACTATACTGTGGTTTGCTTATGACTTAGCTTACTGTGTAAACCCAACAATTGTGGTTGGTAAATCTTGGCTTATGCATCAGCATGTTGTATGAGCCTAGTTACTTGTAGCTTATTGAATAAGACATAATTAAGCAAATCATGGCTTACAGTTTTATATAAACAAAGCCATATTTAGAAGGGAGGGAGAGTACTCTTTGTCAGTCTGGAAACTACAGAGCTGAAAAATCTCTTCTAATATGCAAAGGTGTTTAGTGAAAACCATAAGGCAGGAGTGTCAAACTGCCAGCCCGTGGGTCGGACGTATCACCAGGAAATCGCGCCCACCCCATTGCCAAGAATGGGAAAAAAGCTCCAATATGTTGCGCAACATCACGTGATGTTGCGAGTTTGACATATCTGCCATAAGGACATCATAGAACATTGACACAAATTATTACTGGCAGAATTTGCATACAGATCGTTTTCAACTTACAATCAGAATCGGGACCAGAATTTCCATTGCTGAACAGGGCAGTTAAATGAATCACATCTGATTTTGCAACCTTTTTGCCACAATTAGGCAAATCACTGCAGTTGTTAAGTGGATGTGCAATTATGTGACTTCGCTTATTGGAAGCCAGCAGGGGAGATCACATATGGCAATCACATGACCCCACTACTATTGTAAATACATGCCACTGGCCAAGGGCCTGAATTTTGATGACATAACCCAGGGGGATAAATGGTCATAAATGTTAGGACTAGTCATTGGTCACTTTTTAAAAATAGTTTATGATCTTATTATGCCTCCTAGAATGAGCATTTCCTTATGTGAGAAAATGAGGGAGAATCATCCTTCTAAAATGAGACCATCTACAGCAGCCAGTCTCAACTTATTTGCAGGACGTTGATCTGCAACGTTTTAAATATATGATATATGCCTTCAAATAGATTATAGTGAACTATGGACTATTTCAGAAGGCTAAAAATAAAAGGATTAGAGTGTTCTTGCATTCATTCATACAAGAAACAAAATGTTCACAACCAGGAGGGGGAAGAAAGATTATTCAGCCAAAATAAATGTCCAGATGAAACAAACTTTTCATCAAAAGTGGCAAGCTTCATTAAAACAAACGAAGCATTTTCAAAATATTTATAACCGCTGGTGACTTAATAGTATGGTATGGACTGTATGTACTGGATTAGAAGGCCAATCGTACGCATACTTATTCTGAGGTACATTCCTGTGCATTGAACAGAATTTATTAAGCAGTCTTATGATTCAGTAGGGTTTAAAGGAAGCTTATGAGTTTGTAAACTTTTGTTCTAAGCTTAAACTGAACAAACATACATTTAGATTGAAAATGGACTCAGGATTGCAGGCTTCTCTAGAAAGGACCAAGGTTAAAAAAAAAATAGCAGTGGGTTTTAGTACAGGGTTAGACCAGGTTCATACAAGCTGTGGTTTCTTCTAACAGTGATTTATAGAATAAGCCACATTGCTTCTCATACTTTTCTCTCTCCCCCCCCCCTTTTGTTTTTAGGGACAGAAGCTTGGATCAGGATCTAAAAATCTCCCTGGCAGGATGAAAGAAGAAATGCCAAAGGCAGACTGAAGATGCCAATCATTGCTCAAAGGAACCAGAGCACACACTGCAAACAGGTTTTTTCAGTTTTGGTTAATATTGCCTATAGTTATGAAAGCTGAGATATTTAAAAGGCAGGAAAGACAAGTTAAAAAGATCTCTGAGTGGCTGTAGTCAGTAGGAAGCTCTTTAGCAAATATCCAAAGGATTTGAAACCAGACAGTGAAAACTCTCAACTCCGTAGGTCAGGTGGGAGTGGAAATGGTAAAAATGTGCCCTGTGACATTTTTACCTACAATATTCTTAAGGCTGAAAGATGACTTTTGTCAATCTCGTGGGGGGAGGAACAGACCCCCAGGCCTGACTCTCAGCTGCTTAAGGATGCACTATTAAAAATGGAGGCCTTTCCTATCGTATGCTTAGATAAAGATGGTAAGGATAATTGTTAATTATCTTTTAATATGGAGGTGTGATGGCTTAGCGGGTTTGAGTTCCATGTGACGGGTGAGCTCCCGTTCCTTGCTCCAGCTCCTGCCCGCCTGGTAGTTTGAAAGTATGCAAATGTGAGTAGATAAATAAGTGCCACTTTGGTGGGAAGGTAATAGCATTCTGTGCATCTTTGACATATAGTCGTGACCGCATGATCAGAGAAATTGTCTTCAGACAACAGATACCAGCACCCTAGAATTGGACATGATTGAGCAGGGAAACCTTTATCTTTTTAAAAAATCTTTTAATGGGTCCATTGCATTCAATATTCCTTAAAAGTACATTAAAGTTTAGGAGAATTATTTCATTGCTTTCATATCAAAGAGGGAGAAAGACTGAAAACGAATAGGGGAGAAAATAAATGGTTAATCTACTTTTCTGAGACTTGTGTTTTCAACTGTCTCTAAAAGGTTGCAAAATTTGCACCTTTGCTGATGGCTACAGAAAACACAAGAAAGGACTTTTTTTTTTATTTTTCTAACTGAAAGATAACATAGTGGCAAAAGTGTATACAGAACGTGGTTATCTGGTGTTACAAACATAAGGGAAAGTTGTTCCAGTATTTGCAAGAGGCGTGACCTTGCTTTTCTTGAGAAATGACTGTATTTTGTTAAGTGTGACATTTAAAACCTTTCCACATGTTCCACAATCCTTGCACTGCAAACATTTTGCAGCTGAACAGGAAGCTAATCAAACCCTAATTTATAAGGGAAAACTCACTTCTATCACTTTTCATTTCATTGGGGAAAAAAAACCCCAGCAGACACTTAACAAACCTTGCCTGCAGCTCCTAATTACTGAATTTGCACAACTCCCTCCCTCTTAAGTTATGGTTACAGACCGCAATTGCTCAATTCAGATGGCACATTAAATCAAACTCAGACCAATTACAAGTAATCCTCAACTTATAACCAAGACAGAGACCAGAATTTGTTAATCAAGGTGGTTAACATGACTAGCCCTTGATTTTATAAGGTTTTTTTGCCAGGGTTCATAAAATTGCTATAGTTGTTAAGGGAATCAACTGGTGATTAAGCGAATCCAGCTCCCCCCCCCCCCTTTGACTTGACTTGTTGGAAGCCAATTGACAAGGTTGAAATGGTGATCACATGATCATGGGGTGCTGCAAGTACATGCCAGATGCCAAGCACCCAAACCTTGATCACCCGACTGTGGGGACACTGTGACTTTTGTAAGTGCGAAGCCCAGTCGTAATTAACTTTTCTTCAATGCTGTTGTAACCTCAAACACCCACTAAATCAGACATGTCAAACTTACCACGTGGCGTGATGTATCAGAGCTTTTTCCCCATTGCCAGCGATGGGGTGAGCACGGTTTCTTCGTGATGCATCCGGCCCGTGGGCCGGCAGTTTGACACCCCTGCACTAAATGAATGGTTGTCAATCAAGGACAACCCATGTATATACAGCAGGGGTCTTCAAACGTGGCCCTTTTGTGACTTGTGGACTTCAACTCCCAGAATCCTTCAGCCAGGCACGCTGGCTGAGGAATTCTGGGAGTTGAAGTCCACAAGTCTCAAAAGGGCCACGTTTGAAGACCCCCCAGATATCCAGGCTTAACATTTGCCTGACACAACCTTGTATCAGCTTATAGGGTAGGGCAGTGATGGCGAACCTTTTAGAGATTGAGTGCCCAAACTGCAACCCAAAATGAACTTATGCATCATCGAGTGCCGGGTGGGTGTGGCCCATTGGGTGGACGTGGCTGCAATGGTAACGGCAGACTGGGTGGGACTAAAAAGTTCAATCAATTCCAACTTTGCAAGACCTTCCCCCCCCCCCCGCGAGAAGTTGAAATTGACTGATTGAACCATCTTATCTTTTTTTTTTTTTGCACACGGCGGCGGAGGCCTAAAGCGAAAAGGTTTTATAAAACACAGCTGAAGGCCTAGGACTGGGGCGACGGCGCGCATGCCCACAGAGAGGGCTCTGTGTGCCACCTGTGGCACGCATGCCATAGGTTCACCACCACTGGGGTAGGGCGAGAATAACAATGAGCAAAGCTGCCTTTCTGCAGGGTAAAAACATTACGCACTCATCCCTCAATGCAAGCAGGTAACCCCACTCCAGGGGGGGTCTTCAAACTTGGCCCTTTGATGACTGGTGGACATCAACTCCCAGAATTCCTCAGCCAGCGTGCCTGGCTGAGGAATTCTGGGAGTTGAAAGTCCACCAGTCATCAAAGGGCCAAGTTGGAAGACCCCTTGCCCCACTCCCTCCCTTTCACTCCCATAAGGATTTTCCATTCTTGCACGGGAAGCCACTGGTCGCCCTCCCCCCCCCCGAATTCCCTCCCGCCTACAGTTCCCACCCTACACCGCGCCCGCGCCCACGCTTAACCCTTTCGGCGCCGTCCCCTGCAAGTCGCGGCTGGGTCGAGCGCTCCATCCAGAGGATCGGCGCACGTGGAAAGAGGCGGGCGGGGGAGGGAGGGAGGGAGGGGAAGAGGCGGCTCTCCTCCCCCTTGAAAAACGCCCGACGGGGCTCTGCCTCCTGGCCAGCTGGCGGATTCCCCCCAAGCCGGGGGCGGCCAGGCAGATTTATTTTTTAATTTTATTTTTATTTTTTTTTCGGGAACGAGAGCCTCTCTTGCAAAAGGGAGGGAGGGGCCGGAGAGGCTTGCCTTTTTTTTTCTTTTTTCTTTTTTTTGGCAAAATTAGGACGGGGCTGCCAGGCTGGCATTTCAAAAGCGCGGAGCTGAGGAAGCAGCCGAAGCAGGATTTTATTGATTGATGGATGGATGGATGGATGGATGGATGGATGGATGGATGGATTGATTGATTTCCTGGCCCCCTTCCCACCAAGGCTCGCCTGCTTGTGCCTCTCGGGTGTGTGTGTGTGTGTGCGTGTGTGCGCGCGCGTGTGCATATGCACGCGTGCGTGCGTGCATGCAGCGAGCCCACGCGTGGTTGTGGGCAGCGCCACCCAGCCTGAAGCCCTGGCTGGGCTGGCACCGAGAGCTGCTAGAGATGGAGCGATCCGGTCACGCGAGGCGGCAGCAGCAGCAGCAGCCGCCGCCGGAGCGGCAAATGACTGCCTGAATAAATATTCCGGCATGCCTCTTTTTCTCGTGCAGCCCACACCCTCCTCCTCCTCCTCCTCCTCCTCGCTGGCTAATCTCCGGGCAGCCGGGCTCTGCCCCAGCGCCAGTCGACGCTTCTCGGCGCGGCAGGAAAGCGCAGGAGGAATTGCTGGCCCGGCGCGCTCCAGGAGGGGATGGCCCGGAGGAACGCGGCTCGTCCCCGCGGCGGCCGCCTCCTTCTCCGCTTGCAGGTAGAGGAGGGTCGTCGGGCTTCCCCCCCCTCTAGACACACACACACACACACACACACACACACACACACACACACACACACACACACACACACACACACACCTACCTCTCTCCCGGGCCCTCTGCAAGCCCCGGTAGAGGAGGGTCGTCGGGCTTCCCCCCCCTCTACACACACACACACACACACACACACACACACACACACACACACACACACACACAGTCTCTCCAAGAGCCCCTGCAAGCCCCGTAGAGGAGGAGTCGTCGGGCTTCACCCTTCCTCTACACACACACACACACACACACACACACACACAACACACACACAGTCTCTCCGCGGCTCCTCCCTGCAAAGCCCCGGTAGAAGGAGGTACGTCGGGCTTACCCCCTCTAATAAACACACATAACACACACCACCTCTCTCCGGGCCCTCTGCAAGCCCCGGTAGAGGAGGGTCGTCGGGCTTCCCCCCCTCTATACACACACACACACACACACACACACACACACACACACACACAGTCTCCCCCCGGGCCCTCTGCAAGCCCCGGTAGCCCTTGAGGGGCGTTTCTGTGCAGCCTCCGCGCCCAGATGAGTTGTTCTTGGCCGGGTTGACGTTGGAGTCGTTCAACCGGCCTGGGAGGATGCCCGGGTGAAACACCTGGTTCTCTCCAGGGCGGGATTCCCACTCCCCCCCCCCACCCCGTCTGCTGCCTGCCTTCTAGCTGCGGAGGAGAAGCCCCCCCCCCCCGCCTTATTTCCCTCCAGGCACCATCTGGGTCAAAGGCGGTGGCCTATTCATTGCTGGGGATTGATTGCTCAGCCTTCCATCCTTCCGAGGTCGGTAAACTGAGGACCCAGATGGTTGGAGGGGGGCAAGAGGCCGACTCTGTAAAGCCCTTAAAAGGGAGGGCTGTAAAGGCACCTGGAAGCGGTATATAAGTCTAAGTGCTGTTGCTGTTGCTACCTGGCTGTGCAAGGCTATGGAGGTGTTCAGAGGGTATGGAGCCATCTGCCTGGCTTTGTCGGGAGGGGTCTAGAGTGGGCCCAAGGCAAAGCTTTGTTGTTGTTGTTAATTGCGAAGTCGTGTCCGACCCATCGCGACCCTATGGACAATGTTCCTCCAGGCCTTCCTGTCCTCTACCATCTTCTGGAGTCCATTTAAGCTCACACCTCCTGCTTCAGGGACTCCATCCAGCCACCTCATTCTCTGTCGTCCCGTTCTTCTATTGCCCTCAATCTTTCCCAGCATCAGGCTCTTCTCCAGTGAGTCCTTCCTTCTCATTAGGTGGCCAAAGTACTTGAGTTTCAACTTCAGGATCTGGCCTTCTAAAGAGCAGTCAGGGTTGATCTCTTCTAGCACTGATCAGTTTGAAGGCCTTGCAGTCCAGGGGACTTGCAGGAGTCTTCTCCAGCACCATAGTTCAAAGGCCTCCATTCTTTGGCGCTCAGCCTTTCTTATGGTCCAACTTTCACAGCCATACATTGCAGCTGGGAAAACCACGGCCTGGACTATACGCAAAGCTAGAATGCCTTATTTATTTGTTTGTTTATTTGAAAATTTCATTGGCTGGGTAACTCTGGGCGGCTTAGCAATCTTGAAAAGAAAAAGATAAAATTTATACAAGAGCTAAGCTGTTAAATAATATTTAATGTATTTAATAAATACTGAAATAAAATACTTTAAAGGTCCAATGACTAAGCCCCAATGAAAAGAGGGGGAGGGAGGGAGGGAGTAGGATGTGAAGGGGGGAAAGTGGAACCGGTTGTTAATCTGTCAATCACACGGTATCAAAATGTTCCTTTCTAGGTTTGGGGATGGGACCTCTTCGTCTTGGCAAGGTGGCATGGCCTGGACTTGGTGGAGGGTGAAACTTTTTCATTGACTGCCTAACTTGCCTGTCCTTGCCTTTCCCAGCTTTAATTCCGCAATGAAGCTGCCCATGTTGGACGCCTCTGGCCTAGATGAGAAACGGTGGGCGAAAATAGCCAAGGCATGCTAGAGGTATAGTCCCCCGAGGCAGACAGCTGTCCCTTGGTACCAGCGGCATCCAGCTGTGTTTCTAGAACTGACAGCCTGCCATGGCTGGCCCCAGCATCTGGAACAGCCTCAAGTCGGTCCTGAGAAAGAACAATGATTCCTTGTTTCTGAACGACTGCAATGCTTTTGATTTTTCGGACGAGATCGGGGAGGAAGATTTTCCACGGTTCAAGAAACTCCAAGTGGTGGTTTCGGATGATGCAGCCGACACTTCTGCCAATGGGGCCTATGTGGGACCTCACTCCGATGATGAGTCCTTGCTGGACAGGGACATAGCCTTGCGAAATGCTGTGGCCGGACCCCCGACGGATCCTTGTAACAATTGTACCCAGCAAAGGGAACTGTTAAAGCAAAGGAAGGTGAAGAGGCGGCTGGCTTTAGCTGCAATTCTCTATCTTCTCTTTATGACGGGCGAGCTTGTAGGTAAGAGTGCCTTGCAGTCACCGGACTGGGGGTGGCAGGGGGGGGGGAGAGGAGAGGTTGCGTTGTAAGGTGGGAGTGTGGTGGAATAGCTGTTTAATTATTTTCTCAGGCTGGAGGATAAGGGCCACTGTTCAGTTGGCACGCTTGCATTGCAACAGGACAATAGGTTGACAGAACGTCTTAAGTAAGCAAAAACTGCCTGCAGCCAATGGGAAAAGAGAGGATGGATTGTGTCAATCTTTTGATCTGCCCTTGTGTGGACTGATTTGGTTGAACAGTTTTGCGTGGGTCTTTGATTATCTACATTCACGGACAGTACAACCCTGGTACATAGCTTGGTCTTGACGGTTTCGGAGCATAGATACCCTAAGATTGTATTCGTATCTTATGTTAACTCATGATTTGTTTTTCCATTTGCTAACTCCAATTAGCTGGAGTCACATAACAGAGGTTCATACAAAATGTTGAGCCTAAAGCAACAATTATGGTTTAATACAATAGTCTTAAGAAGATAACCTAATCCTGGATCCAGGTTTCTGGTGTCTGGCCTTTCACTAGAAGGACTTACAGTCCAATAAGGAGGAATTTGGGGGTGTCTTTTCTGATGACCCTTAAAAAACATTAGCTTATGGCTTTGGTAAAACTTGTTGGTTGAAAAAGATGCTACTAGCCCATACTGATTTTTGCTACCGTAAACTAACAAAAGTCCCAAAAGGTGAGACCAAGACAGACCAAATTTGATCTCATTCCATCCATTTTTAATTAGAAATCATTAATAGTCTTTCAGAATTTCATCAACTTTCCCTTTGCTGTATTAAAAATTGCTTCTGGAGGTTGCACCCTAGTCTTTCGTCAGCTGTAGGTCATTCTTTGTATCCCTCCAGTCGACAATTCAAGTAACTAGATTAAAGTAGACTAAAGGCTCGGTGCGGTTAAAGTCCTTCATTGCAAGAAACCAAGGATGGATTAATTTGATGAACTTTCTGAGGCCTGCTAGATAACCATTTTGGAGTGCTCCACCTCCACACCGGTGTCTCCGCCTGCTTTTTTTCCCCCTCATCCCTGTTCATTTTCGCTGTCTGCCTCTCCTGAACTGCTTGTGAAGATCTGCTACCCGTAAGATGGGTTCTTGTCCTTCATGGCTCGTTGAAGGCAGCCGTGAGACGGGGATGTTCACAAGCCTCTTTGAACTCTTTAAGGGAGGCAGTAGCAGAGGCAGACATTTCTCCAAACTGAATCCCAGACCTGGCAGATGGTACGAGTTGTTATTCTCAAAATCTGGGACCGCTGCGGATCAGCGTGTTCCTCTGTGCACCAAGAATGCAAATGCACAGTTACTTCTGCTTCTCCTTTTCCAGTTTCAGGCCTTTAAACATAGAAACCGGATACACCTATTAAATCCTACACACCACCTCGTCTTGCATGGCTGGTGTAAGAGATTGAGCTCAGAGGAAAATAAATCATTTATCAAAGTTTCTCTGCGTTCCCACTTTGGCTTGCTTTGTGAATCGGCTGGACCGCTTTGCTTACTTTAGAGCAATCCTTAAAATATTAGGCAGAATATTCCCAATGCCGGGAATATTAAGAAGTGTCTCTTAAGCCCACTTCTGCCAAGTTGAGGTGGTGTCTTAAAAGTACTCTTTGTTTTTTAAAAAATATTTTTGTAAGTTGAAGCAGAAAAAAAAGGGGCAAGTTTCTTTCAAATCCTTCCTGCAAATAAAATGAGCTTAAGAATTAAAACCTGTAGCTAGAGCCGTTTAATAACAGGATGCAAATCTTGTTATTAAGTTGCTAGTTTAAAGACAGGTTCTGAATTCTTAGTGTTTAAAGAATCGAGTCCTTTGACGAACATTGGCGCGTACTGAGAAATAAGTTATGAAATAAATGTAGTGCGTGGGGATTGCTACCTGTGGTGATTTCCTGCTGAGGATATAAAATACGGTTATAACCGCCAAAAATATATTTGACTGGAGCTATTGTGACCATTGTCCATGCCTCAGTCTCCAATGTGTACGTTAAAATATTTGTAAATGTGGCAGCGATTTGTGGCACAATAGATGCTTTGGAAGTTTGGAGGATGTGGAAGAGACCTACCATAGAACTGCCACAAATTGGACGCCACTGAATGGATAACATCACCATCGCCAGATGTTTTGGGGAGCTGTGATTGATGCAACTCCTTGCTGAATATAATAATAATAATAAAGTTGGAAGGGACCTTGGAGGTCATCGAGTCCAACCCCCTGCTCAGGCAGGAAATCCTATACCAAATGGCTGTCCAGCCTCTTCTTAAAAACTTCCAGTGTTGGAGCATTCACCACTTCTGGAGGCAGGTTGTTCCACTGGTTAATTGTTCTAACTGTCAGGAAGTTTCTCCTTAATTCTAGGTTGCTTCTCTCCTTGATTAGTTTCCATCCGTAGCGTCTTGTCCTGCCTTCAGGTGCTTTGGAGAATAGGCTGACTCCCTCTTCTTTGTAGCAACCCCTGAGATATTAGAACACTGCTATCATGTCCCCCCTCATCCTTCTTTTCATTAAACTAGACATACCCAATTCCAGCAGCCGTTCCTTATATGCTTTAGCCTCCAGTCCCCTAATCTTCTTTGTTGCTCTTCTCTGTACTCTTTCTAGAGTCCCAAGATCTTTTTTATATCGTGGTGACCAAAACTGCATGTAGTATTCCAAGTGTGGCCTTATCAAGGCATTGTAAAGTGGTATTAATACTTCACGTGATCTTGATTCTATCCTTCTGTTAATGCAGCCTAGCCCTGTGTTGGCCTTTTTGGCAGCTGCAGCACACATATATGTGGGTTGGGGTTTTTGTGTGTGTAACATGTGAATATATCTAACATTTCCCTCCCCCTTTTAAACTTGTGCATTAAGGTGGATACATTGCCAACAGTCTAGCTGTCATGACGGACGCGCTTCACATGTTAACAGATCTCAGCAGCATTATTTTGACAATTCTCGCTTTGTGGCTCTCTGCAAAAGCTCCCACCAAAAAATTCACCTTTGGATTCCATCGATTAGGTAAGGCGGCCTTTTAAATTAGTCCGCTACCATTGCCTTTGCCAATTGGCAGTGAAGTGTCTCTCTTTGATTTATCTTCTCCAAATGGGTGCCTTCTATCCATACCAAGCCAATTGCACTGACAAAAAAAAAAAAAAAAAAAAAACCCCAAAAAAATCCATGATCTAACAAGGTGCCAGGGAAAGACAGCTGCTCAATTTGGTAAGAAAATGGTAGATAAATAACAACATTACATATCTATAAAAGTAATTTGCAAGATCTCTTTTGAGCTGTTGACTTAAGGACTCAGTACAGGCAGACAGCTGGGGAAAAGTCACCATATTCATACCCTCTAGTTCCGGTGCTTTTATGCCTGTTCTGTGTATTCCCTCATAACTCTTTCTCAACATAAGTCCACACCTTGGGCATATCAGTTGCGGCCAAAAGAGATTTATTGTGACATCAGTTTCTATAGGGATATCTTTCACAATGAGATAAGATTCAGTGCCAATAGCAATTTGGTATTTGTTTACCCAATGGAAACTAGCAGATGTTGAAATGTTGAAGATATGCAATACATTTAGATCATCATCATGTTTAATGATGTCTTAGGTCCCGTACTGTGGACCATATGTATACTTTGTTTTCTCAACTCGAAGTTTATGATTTTAGATAAAAGAGGCAGAGGGAAAGATCCTGAGTGGGCATCTGTTTGAGGTTGATTTCTCTAATTTCTGCGGCTTATTTTTGCCTGGTCTTGCAGTTCAGGTTCAGTTGCATCTGATTGAAAGGAAAAGTAGCCCTACTTTTGAAATGTTGGCTAAGTGACTTGCATTTGCAGTGTGGAATCACAGTAATAGCAATAGCACGTAGACTTATATATCATTTGATAGGGCTTTACAGCCCTCTCTAAGTGGTTTATAGAGTCAGCCTAGTCATCCTAACAATCTGGGTCCTCATTTTACCGACTTTGGAAGGATGGAAGGCTGAGACAACCTTGAGCTGGTCAGGATCAAACTCCTGGCAGTGAGCAGAGTTAGCCTGCAATAACTGCATTCTAACCTTTACGCCACCATGGCTCTTGTCAACATCCCTGCCTTGAGGGAAGTTCTCCTGTCTCAGATCTAGCACAAAACTAGGCCCCTTTTGATAAGTTCAATGTGATTAGACTAGTCACCCTTCTCCCAACGTGGCACTTCTGAGATACATGGGAGACAATTGGGAGGCAGAGATAAAGATTGTCTACACCTCTACATTAAGGTTTGGGACTAGTAACAGAGACTAGGTAAAAAGTTTTCCTTCACCCTGGAAGCTGCCTATATGAATTTGAACCATCAGACTCTCTCAGTCCAACCCACCTCATAGGGCTGATGTGGAGAAATCATAGAAGGAGGGAGATGGATAGAAAACCTTACAAACAACTTGAATCAAGTCCATTTTGATTCCTAGAGACTGCCTGGACCAGTCCCTGCAGTTTTCTTGACAAATTTTTTGGAAATGGCTTGTCATTGCCTCCTTCTTAGGGCTGAGAGAGAGTGATTGGCTCAAGATGACTCAGCTGGCTTTACGTCTAAGGCACCACTAGAACTCACAGTCTCCCAGTTTTTAGCTGGTGCCTTAACTGCTACAACAAATAATTGTCTTTAACTCATACATTTCGGTGGGACTAACATGCCCAAAAATGTGTACAGGAGGATTGAGCTGTTCTGAATGTTCTGGTCTTACCAGGCTCAGTCAAAATGGCTGTGAATAAAGGATTGTTTGGAATCGCAGTCCAAAACAGTACCAAAAAAAATTGCACGTTCCTGTCTGTTCTTCCTGTCCCAGAGGATGAACGAATGAGACATTCGTTGGTCGCAGTTCCCCTATGAAAACCACATTAGTCCTCACAAGAAGTTTCTAAAAATATATTTAGCTTAGTTCTTAGAAAGAGAAGTCATTCAGCCAAAGAGAAAGAAGAGAAGTATTTTTCAATTAGATGTGCTGATTCAGTTTTGCTCCTTCAGGCCTCCGCTAGGTTAGTTTAGGCTCACATTATTCAACCCACTGTTCATAAGATTCTTATTTCCAAAGCTGTAATTAGATTTTTCAGCATTTCTCCCCCCCCGCCCCCATTCTTTAATGTCCAGTAGGAGCTGTATAATAAAAGTCAAGTAACTGGTGTGCATTCAAATGCCTTTGAAAACAGCTTTTTAGCTCCAGTGGCTTGTATTTCAGTCATAAGGATATTCATTCAACAAAATTAAGAACTCTTGAAAGAAAAGTTTCACAACTGCCAAACGCTGTGTTGTTTGAGATCCAGGATGATTTACGCTCTACAGTAAAGTACAGTATGGCTTTAATAAGTAAATTGATGATGATGTTACCGCAGTGGAGGAAAATATCTCAACTGGAGAGTTGAAAACTTGGCAGTCCAAGTTTATGAAATACAACTCTCTCGTACAGGCTAAAAAGAGACTTTGTACGTATTATCTTACCTTTCATTTTAATGCCTTTACTCGCTACAAAAATTGAATTTATGCTGTCTTGACAGAGGGTTTCTATTGTCTGTAGTTCTAAATAATCCTCCCAGCCAAAACAGCTCAAAAAACCTACAATAGTAACACTAGTTTATTATACAGTGCTGGGAAACCAATGTGGCAAACTCTGTAGTGTCATTATAATGGGACACCCCAGATTGTGTGTCATAGGGCTTTCACGCCGATTGAATAACACATCTTGTTCAAACATAATGAGAGATGCAATTGGACTTGGCACGATAGATTTTTGCAGGTCAATAACTGACTGTAAACTTCAGGAAGTGATCAGTGTCCTGATGAGTCTGAGGACTCTTATTTTAGAGCAGGGGTCCCCAACCCCCGATCCGTGGACTAGTACTGGGCCGTAGCATGCCAGCAACCAGTCCGCACAAACAAGCAAAGTCCCATCCACGGGATGCAGGCAGCACACAAAACCACACACCCTCCGGTCCGCGAGAAAAGCCTCTCCACGGAACCGGAGGTGGCGCAGCAGTTAGAGTGCAGTATTGCAGGCCACTTTAGCTGACTGTGTTCAGCAGGTCAGCGGTTCAAATCTCACCGGCTCAAGGTTGACTCAGCCTTCCATCCTTCCGAGGTAGGTAAAATGAGGACCCAGATTGTTGGGGGCAATGTAAATATATATATACATTGCTTACTGGTGTACACCGCTTAGAGAGTGCTTGCACTTAAAGCGGTATATAAATCTCATAAATAAATAAATAAATAAATAAATAAACCGGTCCCTGGTGCCCAAAAGGTTGGGGGCCTCTGTTTTGGAAGGACTTCTTTTTTATTTGTAGCAGACCAGCTTCTGCTTATGTCCCATCACGGTACAGGTAGTCCTCAACTTACCATCGGCAACTGAGCCCAAAATTTATCTTGCTAAGTGAGACATTGGTTAAGTGAGTTTTGCCCCGTTTTATGACTTTTCTCGCCGCATTTGGTTGAAGTGAACCACTGCAGCTGTTAAGTTAGTCACAAGGTTGTTAAGTGAATCTTGCTTTCCCCAGTGGACTTGGCTTGTCAGAAGGTCACCAAAGGGGATCACAGGACACTACCACCCCGGGACGCTGCAACCAGTCGTAAATATGAGCCTGTTGCCAAGCATCCGGATGTAAATCACAGGACCCTGGGGGTGCTGCAATGGTCCTAAATGTGAAAAATGGTTTTCAGTCACTTTTTCCAGTACCGTTGTAACTTCGAACGGCCACTAAACGAACTGTTGTAAGTCAAGGACTCCCTGTACTGCATCTCATTTTAGATCAGGGGTCTTCCAACTTGGCCCTTTTATGACTTGTGGACTTCAACTCCCAGCGTGCCTGGCTGAGGAATTCTGGGAGTTGAAGTCCACAAGTCATAAAAGGGCCACGTTTGAAGACCCTTGTTTTAGATATTTAGTCATTTGGAAGTAGCTGCTTTATCAAGGCAACGCTCACTCTTTTTTAACAGCGTTGAATGAAGACATTTTTAAGGTTTAAATGTTGTTGTTGGGCTTAAAAGTCTCCTTTTCAAGTGCTGCTGTTTTGCTGTTTTTCTCCCAGAGGTTTTGTCTGCCATCTTCAGTGTATTGTTGATTTATATCCTGATGGTCTTCCTCTTATACGAAGCCGTTCAGCGAACTATCCACATGGACTATGAAATTAACGGGGATGTGATGCTTATCACCGCAGCTATTGGAGTAGCAGTAAACCTCGTGTAAGTTGTTGTTTTCCTTCTCCTTAAGACTGATATATTGATCTTGATGGCATCTGCTAGCTGTAGCTGTCAATCTCATCTGGATAGGTCTGATGTTGGACACCATTGGGTTGTCCAGTCTCTTTCCACAGGGACTCTCAGACCATTTGCACAGCACTTGAAATTTTCTCCGGAAGGACTTGTTATTAATGGCATGGTTACTGCTACGCCGGGGTAGGAAGTGGAAGCAATGAGAAGGCAAAACAGTAGAGCCATGTTGCATAGTAGGGCTGTCCAACCTTGGCAATGCTGGCTTAGGAATTCTGGGAGTTGAAGTCCACGGGTTGTAAAAGGGCTACGGCTGCCCACCCCTGCTATTGACGATAAAATGCTTCTCAGTCACAAAGCAAACGGCAAGTAGCTACAGACAAGCATCGATTAGCCTGGGCTGAATTTGTACCAGCCATAGGTTAATTGACCAATTATGCTGGCTTGATAGTCCAGTGCCCGGGCACCTGTAATTTCCTCTCCTCTCAAGAAAGCATCATCATTGGCATCCTTCAGTCTCAAGAGACTATGGTATCGTGCTCTGGAAAGAGGTCCTAAGGCAGCATCTGGTGTGGCTAAAAAGGCCAATTTGAGAATGGCAGTCCCTTCCACACTGAGGACAGATACAATCTGTCCCCTGTCCAGCCCCCAGATTTCGCTGGTTCTGGGACTGTCTTTGTCTCAGCCTGCCGCACAAGTGTCTCTTCGAATTGGAGAAGGCCATGCTGCGTCTTTAGCCTCCAGGCTGAACGATCAGAGGTCAAGGATTCCCAGCTGTTAATGTCCATTCCCAAGGCCTTTAGGTCCCTCTTGCAGATATCCTTATATCGCAGCTCAAGTCTCCCTCTGGGGCACTTTCCCTGCACTAGTTCTCCATACAGGAGATCTTTCGGGATCCGACCATCAGCCATTCTCAAGACATGCCCAAGCCAGCATAGACGTCGCTGATTCAATAGTGTATACCTGCTAGAGATTCCAGCACATTCCAGGACTGCGCTATTTGGGACTTTGTCATGCCAGGTGATGCCGAGAACAGCGCATATGAAAGGTGTTCAGCTTTCTCTCCTGCCGTACGTGAAGAGTCCCAAGACTCACTGCAGTACAAGAAAAGCAGAAAGAAAGGATTCGGGGAGCAGAAGGCTCTACCTATGAGAGGACAAAAATTTTTTTTCTTGCTACTCTGTTTAGATCAAAGCATATTTGAGTAATGGGGCATAAGGAAGATGAGGGGATTTCTGTCCCGCTATTCTTCTTGGCAAGCGTAGGCCTGGAGTGATTTTTCTCCTTGAAGATGGGCAGGAGGCCAGGCACAGCAGATTAGCAGGAAGAGTGAAATATAATAGATAAAAGCAACTCTGGAGAACGATGTTCAGATAGGCTGCCTGGCCAGCAGCTGATCCGTGAGCATATATACATTTACAGTGGCTTTGCAGAACAGCATTAGAAAGCACTGCTGACTCTCATTAACTCCCGTGAACAAGTAACTGATTATTTTTCAGACTTTGTGCTGAAAACCCTTTGGATCCAAAAAAATAAATCAATAAATACATTTGCTTCAGAACCTACAGGGCCACAAATCTCGCAGCTGTCAACAAATCCAGTGTGACTTTCCTGGGGTTCAAGGAGCCACTGTGCAAGGAATGGTGCCTCGGTATGTGGTTAAGATGCTGGGAAGGTTGGCGGTTCAACACCCAAGCATTGCATGACGGGGTGAGCTCCTGTTCCTTGCCCCAGCTCCTGCCAGCCTAGCAGTTTGAAAGCTTGCAAATGCGAGTACATAAATAGGTACCACTTTGGTGGGAAGGTAACTGCGTTCCATGCAACTTTGGTATATGTAGTTATACTGGCCACATCTTTGGACAACGCTGGCTCCCTTGGCTAACAAAGGAAAATGAACACTACCCCGTAGAGTCGGACACATTTGGACAGGGGAAACTCTTTACCTTTTACGTACCAGAACACCATTTTGGCTTTGATCGTGATGCACTGCATAGCCTTACTAGAAAAAATCAGAATCCTGTAACCGATGTTGTTTTCCCCGTTTGTGTTTCCAAAGCGAAGTGGCCCTTTTCCTGCTTAAAGCATCTTTCTTCTCCTCTGCTTTTCATTTCAGAATGGGCTTCCTGTTGAGCCAGTCTGGTCACCTACACTCCCATTCGCACATGCCTTCACCTCTTCCTCCGCCCGGCTCTTCCGCAGCAGCCCCCAGCCACTCTCAGAGTCAGGGTCACGGCAGCTTGGCTGTGAGAGCTGCCTTCGTCCACGCCCTGGGAGACTTGGTGCAAAGTATCGGCGTGCTTGTGGCTGCGTACATCATTCGATTCAAGGTGGACGGGGTTTCTTCACTAGACTTGTGGACCTCTCAGATCTGGGATTGTTCGGCCTTGGGAGGTTGTAACAGTGATGGTGGTTTGCTCATGTTCAAATGTCTTACCCATAGAGAAGAAGGTTTTGTAGCTCAGGGTGGGACTGTGGGTGCTCTCTGAGCTTGCTTGTTTTCTTGCAGATGTTTCATTGCTCAACTGGGGAACATCATCAGTGCTAGAAGGGAGTGGGGTTTGTGGAGTAGAAGAGGAGGAGGACTATGGGTCCTTTGTGCTCTCTGAGCTTGGTTGTTTTCTTGCAGATGTTTCATTGCCAAATTAGGTAACATCGTCCGGGCTAGTAGGCAGTAGCCACTACAATATAAAATGAGAGCAAACCCCACTGCCTACTGGCACTGATGATGTTATCTACTTTGGGTAATGAAATGTCTGCAAGAAAACAACCAAGCTCAAAGAGCACCAAGAGCTCCATAATTTCCTCCTCCTCCTCCTCTTCCTTCTCCCTGAATTCGCTAATTCTCAGACTGATGATAAGACTAGCAGTGACTGAAAACAATCAGCAGTTGAATTTTATCCCCTGTTTTGTTAAAGAGACAGGCTTCCTGCTCCCTTTATTATAAACATGCCCCCCCAAAAATGAACCAAAAGTTCTACTGCCATAAAATTGCTTATATATACTTGCCACATTTCAAAGTAACACTACCTGTTGGAATTCTTGTGCTGGAATTCTTAACCTTTCTTCTAATAAATACTACCAAGCAGGACTTTTAGAGACTTGTTTGCTACTAGTTAAGAGGAGGGAAATTGGAAAAATAGTGTCTTTACTGCTTTGACCCCCAGCTCATTTCAGTGGGACATTTCTGAAATAGATAGATAGATAGATAGATAGATAGATAGATAGATAGATAGATAGATAGATAGATAGATAGACAGTCATAGATAGATAGATAGACAGACAGACAGACAGACAGACAGACAATCATAGCTATCTAGCTAACTATGTAGCTAGCTAGCTAGATATAGATAATCATAGATAATCATAGATGATCATAGATAGATAGATAATGATAGATAGATAAATAGATAGATAATCATAGATAATCATAGATAGATAGATAGGTAGATAGATAGATAGATATAATCATAGCTAGCTAGCTAGCTATAGATAATGATAGATAGATAATCATAGATAATCATAGATAGATAAATAGATAGATAATCATAGATAGATAATCATAGATAGATAGGTAGGTAGATAGATAGATAGATAGATACAGTAGATAATCATAGATAGATAGATACAGTAGATAGATAGATCTAGACAGATATCCTCAAACAGTTGCAATGCATGTGACCTCCTTTTCTTGTTAGCATGTGTTTGTAAATATCATGTTATTTCCCCTCTCAAAGATTTTGACCTATTTTAAAAGAAATTACACTTTTTGATTCTGTTGGTACTTTTTAACACTTTGCAAACCCTACTTACACTTTACAGAAAGGTTGTGTGCAGCTATTTGAATTAACAGATTATTTTCTGAATAATCTATCGTGTTGGTGGGGAGCAGGTGAAAAAAAAAAGCCATACGAAGTTACCCTAATACATTTTAAAATTAAATAAATACAGTACGTGGAGTTATACCATTGGACTGTTTTACATCATCTATACTGAGCTTTCAAGGACTCTTTGAAAGGTCTCCTTGTAGATAGTAGTTGGTGTATAAATGTTGGGTTCGAAACTTGGGTGTTTTGTATACCAAGACCTATTGTGCTACTGTGCCCATTTGCAAAAACATTTACAGTACAAAGGTTAACTGTATTTCAAATTGCATATTGCAGCTGAAGATGATTAATCCAGGTAGTTAAATAAATCAGTAGTTCAGTGATCCTCTGAAGCTGTTTTTCCCCCCCTCCCAAAGGCATCTAATATCCTGCATACAAAACAGTCTTTGTTCTACAGTTGCATACCCGTTATCTGTCGTGGTCCAAATTATAGTTGCAATGAAGTTGCGTTAAAGAATATTATTCATGGGAAAGTTTGGGAAGACTCGGTCCTATTGTACAATTGTAAATAAATGGAGTGGGCCGGCATCATCTTATGTGTGGGGAAAAGCACATACCAATTAGCCCTCCTCCACAAAACTGGTTCTTGTAAGTATAGCTTATTTAAATAAGCTGTGTGGAAAACCGCACATTGCAAACGCATATTGTATATTCCCCAAATTAACTGTGGTTGTTTAGTTGGTTGTGAAAAACAGACACCTGATTTAGTGAAAAATTGAACGGATAGGGTAGGAAACAAATAACGATGGCAATCTTGTTGACTTGGCACCGATTCTTGCATCCATCCTTAAAATATTGACTGATGGCATTCTTCCCACGCCCCCATTTCTAAGCCTTCAAAATATTTATAGCCAGGGACTTTGTTACGAGGTTTTCATCTTTTTCGTTTTCAGCCAGAATATAAGATTGCTGATCCCATATGTACCTACATATTTTCAGTTCTTGTGGCTTTTACAACCTTTCGGATCATATGGGACACCGGAATAATTGTACTTGAAGGTAAGAGCTGTTGATGATTGGGAAGAGGTAGAATTCAGGGGGCTTTTTAAAATGAGACACACACACTTACTAATTTTCATCAATAACTTGATGATTTAGAAGGGCACGTGCTACCGAGTACAGTTTATCCTCAATTTACAACCACAACTGAGCCCAAAATTTCTGTTGCTAAGCAAGACACTTGCTCAGTCACAAGATATTCCAAAACTTTGCTGATGCTCAAATGCTCAAAAACATTTGTTTCATTTTTAATCGTTTTACAGCTTGTTCATGTATGGCATATATTTTTTCAAGTTTAAACAGAAAACTCTGTTCCTGGTTCTTTGTTTCACTTGTAGGAGTTCCAAGACATTTAAATGTGGACCTTATTAAAGAAGAGTTGATGAAAATTGAAGATGTATTTTCAGTGGAAAACCTGTATGTCTGGTCTCTAACTTCAGGAAAAACAATTGCCATTGTCCACCTACAACTAGGTAAAATATGTTGATCCATTGCTTCTACAATACTTGCTTCAGGCAGTACCTGGTTATTAGATAATATCTGTAAAGTAAAATAAAAGATAACGGCTTTAATGAAAAGCTCACAATCCAAAAACAAAAAATCAGGCAAGGGATGGGAAGAAATAAATTAACTGATTGTCCCAAGTCAAAAATTAATTTTTAAAGAAACATTTAGATTGAATTGTATTTCTCTCCCCCCCCCCACTGGGATACAGAGATGAAGATTTGGCAACTCATGGGTCAGAGTGACACCTGAGTGATTGGACAAGGTGATGTTTGCTTCTGTAGGAAGTTAGCCTGTGAACTGATATTGATTGGCAATGATTGATGGCTTGACTGTGATTGGGCTCTGCAGTTCTTGGTCTCTTGATGGAGCTGACAGGTTGAAACTAAATCCTCTTCTAGTAAGAATGCAGGGCTAAAGAGAGTTTCCTTATGAATGATCCTTCAATCCTTGGCTTTGTGAAAGTTCTACAAGCTATCAATTGCTACTATATCACAACAAGCCCCATAGAGAATGCATCTATGGGAAAAACGTAGATTTAGAAGCATCCCTGCTTCAGACAGGAAGGCGGTGCAGAGAGTGGTGAGGATGGCTGAAAAGATCATCGGCAGTTCCCTCCCTCCCATCCAGGACAGGGCATAGAAGCGCTGCTTGAGCAGGGTCTGCAAGATTATCTGGGACGCTACACATCCTCTTCACAACCTTGTTCCCTTCTGGGAGGAGGGGGCTTCGTGGTATCCGAAGCAGAACATCCAGATTCAGTCACTGTTTCGTTCCATACAGTATTAACCTTGTGAACTCTAAAGCTTCTTCCTTCCATTATGTATTCAAGATGGACAGTGATTAATATTTATTAATATTTATATGTTACTTATATGTAAGGGTGTAGGTCTATGCTTATGTTGTATATAGTATGTTTAAATGTGTGTTATGTATGTGTGATGTACACGTTGAGAGCAAGCAATTAAATTTCATTTTTAATGTGTGCCATTGTGCCCACAGTAAAAAATGACAAAGGTTGTCTGTCTGTCTATCATCTATCTTATCTATCTATCCTACCTACCTGCCATCCATCCATCCATCCATCCATCCATCCATCTATCTATTATCTATCTATCTATCTATCTATCTATCTATCTATCTATCTATCTATCTATCTTCTATGTTATCTATCTATCCTACCTACCTGTCATCCATCCATCCATCATCTATCTACCTATCTACCTATCTATCTATCTATCTATCTATCTATCTATCTATCTTCTATGTTATCTATCTATCCTACCTACCTGTCATCCATCCATCCATCATCTATCTACCTATCTACCTATCTACTACCTATCTATCTATCTATCTATCTATCTATCTATCTATCTATCTTCTGTTATCTATCTATCCTACCTACCTGTCATCCATCCATCCATCATCTATCTACCTATCTACCTACCTATCTATCTATCTATCTATCTATCTATCTATCTATCTATCTTCTATGTTATCTATCTATCCTACCTACCTGTCATCCATCCATCCATCATCTATCTACCTATCTACCTATCTATCTATCTATCTATCTATCTATCTATCTATCTATCTATCTTCTATGTTATCTATCTATCCTACCTACCTGTCATCCATCCATCCATCATCTATCTACCTATCTACCTACCTACCTATCTATCTATCTATCTATCTATCTATCTATCTATCTTCTGTTATCTATCTATCCTACCTACCTGTCATCCATCCATCCATCATCTATCTACCTATCTACCTATCTACCTATCTATCTATCTATCTATCTATCTATCTATCTATCTATCTATCTATCTATCTATCTAGAATATTTCCATTTTTCCCCAACATTCTCAAGAATAGGAGAGAGCAATTGGAGAACAGTTCTGAACTTGAAAAGCTCCTCAATTGGTTCATTAAATAGAGGATATTCAAGGTAGAAACTCTAAAATCAACTGCCGAGACAATCCTAGCAGACAAATCAATAAACTGTTGGAAATTTGCTTGTGTATTCCCAACAGATCAACCCACTGGGGACTCCCTCAGGTTTGCTTATAACCACAATCAATTCCCATTTAAGCTGCTTTCCTCAGTCTAAAGCATTTGTCAAGATAATAGCCGAGCTATTAAGGCATCTGAGGCATGCATACATCTGTATACCCAAATGATCTACTAATTAGATCTCCAGCTAGGGTCAGGAATGCACCCAGACTGTAATTCACAATACATTGCTGGTAGGGCTGGAGATTTCTGGTTTGCTGCCTTCAACAGATGTTTTATTTGGGGGGGTCCTGAACAACTTGGAGAAGAAGTAGTTCTTCTTGATCATCCTTCTGGAAGGAAATGTGGTGACATTCAAGTAATCCTTGTACTGGGCTATTAGAGTCAAAATATGATAGTTTTGGTTATTCATCTGAAGAGCTGTCTTCCATAGAGGCATTTCAAGAAATCGACAAACAGTTGCTTTAATGTTTTGGGTTTTTTTTTGTGGCTTTCTTCTTTTTCAGTTCCTGGTAGTTCACCCAAGTGGGAGGAAGTCCAATCCAAGGCCAGGCAATTGCTGCTAACTACCTTTGGCATCTATCAATGCTCCATCCAGCTCCAAAGCTACAGGCGGGAGGAGAACAAACCCTGTGTAAATTGTCAGAGTGCCTAATTTTTCCACCCTTCGGGAAGACTCACTGCCTTATCCTTTTTAATCTTGCAGCCCAAAGGCCACAAAGCAATAAACGTAAGATATAAACGGAACGGAGGGCTTTGAGCTCCGACGTGTAACATCTGCATTTAATGCAGTATCGGTTATTGGAGCTGTTGGGGTCAGCTTTGGCACGGCTCTTTTCATGAAGACAAACTTGGATTCTTCTATCACTGTTTTGTTTCCGCTAGGGTTTTTCTCGCCAAGATATCTCCAAGGAGTTGTTTACAGATCCCTTGATGGTTGGGCAGGTTCCTCACTGAACGTAGCATCCACAATGCCGTTTCTTAACTGTCCTGACTGACACTCCCAAAGGAGCATCAGGAAATTTATCTACTTGAGTTTTCAAAAGAATTAAAAAAACAAACAAAAAAACACGATCATGTTCACAATTTGTAAAGTTAATGATCCCTGAAATGGTTACCTTAGTATTCAACCCTTTCCCCTTTCCAGGTTTTTAATTCCTTATCTTAAAAAAAAAAAATGCTGCAGGGATAACAGAACTTTTTTTTAATAATTTGTCTCTTAATACAAACTTGAATTGGTATTGGCTCTTACGCGTAACCAGTTTTTGGACATTTAGCTTTAAATAGTACTCCGAGATAGAAGGATTTTATCCAGGATGAACCACCATTTGTTTAACTGAAGACTTTGGGGCAGGACCCACCTGTGTTTGCAAAGATTGGTCAACTTTCATATGCTTTGATATAGGTCCTGTATTGTGGAAGTGTATATTTAATTTCTTCGAGGCTATGTGACTGATTTTGGAAGCTTTTCTATTGGTCCTCCTGAGTATCTCAAGTAACGTGTTGCCGGCTTCAAAAGGCTGTTTGATTAACCTGAATCTTAACTCTACTAAATAAATGTCCTGTAGAAACTTCTTTGTGATTGCTTTGCTTTGCTGAAAGAGAAAGGGCTTATAGAAAACTCAAAAAAAAAAAAAAAAAAAGAAAAAAAAAGAAATCAACTCAGTAGACATCAGGGTAGATATTTATGAGAAAAAGAAAACAAAGATTTGCAATTCCCAGATCTTAAAATGGTGAGGATCTGGTTTTGGTTTCATCCTGACGTATTTTCCTGATACATATATGGCTTTTTCACAATGTCCCAGTGAAATACTTGTGGTTATGAAAGATACAATCAAACGTACAATCCAATGGGGGAATTTTGTTGTTGGTATAAAACTAGCCTTTGTAATCTGTGCTGCTTCACAGGTACAAAACTTGTTGATGGGATGTTTTGAATTGTGGAGAAAGGTAAAACTAGGTTAAGGAGAAACTAGCAATACGTGAGATCTTGTGGTCAGTTCCTAGGCGTATAAAACCTGGATTAAATGAAGGAGAGAGATAGACAACTTGTTTCCCAAGTGTCTGAACACCTTATAAATTTCTGGTTCCAATCTGGTTCGATCACCAGGACCAACGGTCTTCTGAGCTTTCAGACGTGTGCTAGAACCCAACTTCATTTTGGTGAGACAAAAGTTCCCTGAGGATGGGGTCAGAAAGCTTGGAAGACTAAACTTCTGGTCCCGGTGATCTTACCCAAATTGGATCCTGTAATATTAATCTGGGACCTGTATTCATAAATTTCTTGTCGATGGCAATTGGGACTGATAGACTATGAAACCAAAAACATCTGGAAGGCACCTATCTTTGATGTGGGTAAAAGTCATCACAAAAGGTACAGTATTAAAAACTAGATTTAAGCCACAATTTCTTTGCCTTTGTATCTCTTTATTTCTTCTGAAGAACTAGAAACCAAAATTAATATTTTGATGTTACATAGTAAAGTCTACGGCTGAGATTGGATGCTTTAGATTTTTGGCTTTGAAATCTGGGACAACCAGCCATAAACATAATGGATTTTTATAATTTGCTGCAAATGAAGAATTGGTTTGAGCATGACTGAAATAAGAATCTGCCAGTAAATTTTGGTGCATTAGTGGAAATGTGGCATAGTGGAAAATCAGTTAAGTGACCTATAATTTTTAGGAAGAATATTTATCTTCTGATGAAGAAAGTTCCTTTTTATTGGACAATTTCATAAAATTTTAATAACTATTCAGAATATATCACTATGGAGAATAAATCCCATATTTCAGGCAAACAGTATAATAATTTTAGGATCTTCTGGTTGATGAGTTACCTACTTGAAGTTGGTGTTGTACCTTGATTAAACTATCTTAAAGTTCTCTTTTTGGCTTTCTGACGTTGCATGTAATTGGGACTTTCAATATGTCTACCCACCCCAAGACAAACTCTGTATGTATGAAAATTACATATATACACACAAATCATCCATTCATACATATATGCAAAAGCAAAACAGAAACCCTGTGGTAGAAAATTTTATGTTTCACCTAGAGACCAATGGGAGAAATCTGGGTTGCTACGTTGTGATGTAACACAAAGCCATATCACTTTAAAAAAAAAAAAAAAAAGTATACTTATCTATAAGTCAGATATTTCTCTACACACAAAATATTTATAGTGGCATATTTCAATTTGGTTTACAGTACCAATTTGTTAGAAACGGGTTTTGTTAGATCTGTATTGTAATTTAGAGTTTTTATAAAAAGCTGTAATTACATAACATACAGTTTGTTTAATGAAACCAATCTGTTAACGTTCCTGTGAATTTATTACTGTTGGTTATTAAACTGTCCACATATATCTTCTTCTGCTATTCTTTTGTGGCATGGAAATCCTTGGCATTTGCGTTTTTGACTTTCATCTGCAGTGGACTTTTAACTGAATGGAGATAAGTACTGTATAGTGCATATAATCTGCTTAGTCAAGCTTATGTCAGCAAGTACCAGATTTCAGAGATAAGCAGAAAATTAAGCAATCTGGTGCCATCTCTGTGTAATTACAGAAAAGGCAGTAACCAAGTTCAGTTAATTTCTCTCCCGTGCGTAGTTTTAAAGGAAGTGGATATGCGAAATTGTCATTTATCTACTCTGCTCTCGCAGCTGATAATTTTTGAGACCCAGCATTTAAAACTTTTAACAAGTTAAGCTACAGTGTTGTTGGTTTGGTATGCTGTGGGAATGCAGATAATTGTGGCTTATTTAATAAACAAAGGTTAATATCTGAATTCTATGTGTGCATAGAGGTAGCCCTTGATTTAACAACCATTTGCTTAGTGATTGTTCGAAATTACAGCAGCTCTGAAAAAAAGCGACTTATGGCCGTTTTTCACACTTAACAACTGTTGCAGCATCCTCGTGGTCACGTGATCAGAATTGGCAACTGATTGGTATTTATGACGGTTGCAGTGTCCCGGGGTCATGTGATCCGCATTCATGACCACCTGACAAGCAAAGTCAATGGGGAAGCTCGAGTCGCTTAACAACCATGTTGCTAACTTAACAACTGCAGCGATCTGCTTAACAGCCATGCCAAGAAGGGTCTTAAAATGTTGCTCAGAGAAAAGCAGTGACCTATATTTGCATACATATATATGGAAAATTCTTCTTTATCTTCCTGGGCTCCAAGATCACTGCAGATGGGGACTGCAGCCAAGAAATTAGAAGACGCTCCTGGGGAGGAAAGCTATGGCAAATCTAGACAGCATACTAAAAAGCAGAGACATCACCCTGCCAACAAAAGTACGTATAGTCAAGGCCATGGTTTTCCCAGTTGCAATGTATGGCTGTGAAAGTTGGAGCATAAGAAAGGCTGAGCGCCAAAGAATGGAGGCCTTTGAACTATGGTGCTGGAGAAGATTCTTGCGAGTCTCCTGGACTGCAAGGCCATCAAAACGGTCAGTCCTAGAAGAGATCAACAACTGCTCTTTAGAAGGCCAGATCCTGAAGTTGAAACTCAAGTACTTTGGCCACTTAATGAGAAGGAAGGATTAGGCTGGGAAAGATGAAGGGCAATAGAAGAAAGGGACGACAGGGAATGAAGTGGATGAATGGAGTCACTGAAGCAGGAGGTGTGAGCTTAAATGGACTCCAGAAGATGGTAGAGGACAGGAAGGCCTGGAAGAACGTTGCCCATGGGGTCGCGATGAGTCGGATATAACTCCACAACTAACAACAACAACATGGAAAATTTCACTGAACAGCTGTCTTGCTTAGCAGTGAAAATTTGGGATCAATTTAAGTTGAGGACTATCTGTATAGTTGTAGGAAAGAGCACAATAATTATGAAGTTGCAATAACAGAGGGATAAAACAGGTCCCCAACCTTTTGGGCACCAGGGACCAGTTCCATGGAGAAAGGTTTTTCCACGGACCGGAGAGTGCAAGGTTTTGTGTGCTGCCTGCATCCCACGGATGGGGCTTTGCTTGTTTGTGTGGACCAGTTGCTGGCATGCCGCGGCCTGGTACAAGTCCATGGACCAGGGGTTGGGGACCCCTGGGGTAAAAGACCAACCTCTCTATCTGTGGCTGTTGTGGTAGGAGCTTATTTAATGGAACTGCTGATGACAGCAAAGCAGCCGTGTTTCCAAGTTAATCCTTATTGTTCCAGGAAAATGTCTTCTCCATGGCAGATGGGTGGCCTGCCAGGTGTGTACATGCAAATGGAGGTGATTGCTTTTATCTGAGCAACAGTAGATTAGCAGCAGTTTCTCAACACGATTGTTAGTTCCTGCATGGGCAGGAGAAAAAAACAAACAAACATCTGCCATGGTTTTGTTTTTTCTTGAGTTTTTAAGGTGTAGCATTTAATCGTAAACCTTTGCAAATGGCTAAGATAGAAAACATGCATAGCTTACCTGAGATGTAGAATGGCGTGTGGATTGTGTGGACAGCAGACTTCGGTGAACCCCACTTTTCTGAACAAGCCACAATGAGTGGGGCTCAGACCTGGTGCCAAGACATAATCTCTGTGTTGAGTTTATTTCAAGGTGAATAGAATAACACTGAAAAGTGTTCTCCAACAATTGATCAAGGGGCTTTCACCCACGAACTTAAGCTGTAATTGATGCTGAATAGGGAATTCTGGGAGTTGACGTCCACACAGCTTAAAATGCTCAAGGTTGAGAAACATTGCTCTAGACCAAAACCAAACCAATCCAACTATATTATAGTTCAATGCTTCTACAAGGGTGAATGCTGCATATCCACACCCAGCAAGAGCTGTTTATCAAGTCAACATCATCCATAAATGTCCAGAATACTTGGTCCACCCAGGTCAAAGGGAAAAATCTCTCCATCCCCTTTTTTCAATAGCCAATCCCTTTACACAGATTGGGCAATTCAATTTGCCTATGGTAGATTCTTCTTATAACCGCATTGGGGCTTTTATATTATAGGGCGGTAAAACTCAGGGTTGACCTTAAAGCAAGGAAATGAGCTGAACTCTTTCGGGAAGGAAGCTATTTGTTCGATGTTTAAAAATATATTAAAAGATGAAATCTTAAAAAAAACTAAAACCTGGAATGTTTCCCGTGTTAGCCGCTAGATGTCTCACTAACCATTAAAAAAAATATCTTTCCAACAAAAAACTCTTGTTTCATTTTCAGTTCCAAGTTGATAAAAAGTTCAGTTCATGTTGAATAATATTGCACCCTGAGCACATTAGAAGGCAAGTTGATCAACCCTGCCCTGCATATAATAAATATGATTTATGGATGATAGAAATAAGGCATTCTTTATTAAGACTGTGTAAAGCGTTATACAATATACCCTAATCCCTTGAATATATATTCATTTTGTTATCTTCCCCCCCTCTTCTTTTTGTAAATAAGGCAGGAAATAATACATTGGGACAGCATGATAAGCAGGTTTTCAGTTAGAATAGTATCTGCACATTGCTTTTTTCTTCTAAGAGCAAACAAATAAATGCATCGTTTAAAAGAGAACGGAGATTAGGGGTTTTACGTTGGCAGGTCATGTGCAACCACGGAGGCGTTCCTTGTGATGTATTTGCAAAATCTTCAGCAGAGAAAATAATAGAGTTATTATAAATAGTAACATTTCCCTTGCTTTATGCCCTCTCCATTTGCTTCAAAGACATACAATACTCTCCAAAGTGCATTAGTGGGTTAAGAAAAGAGGCTGAAAGGGAAATTAAGAGCGATACCCAGGAGTCTATTTATGAACACTTATTTAAAGATATTTTTCCATCTTGCTCCCTCTTTTTCCTGTGCACTCTTCTACCAGTCATGTCGTACATCCATCTTTCTGCTAAATTTTCTACCAGGTTGAATCACCTTTTTGTGTTGATTGACATGGGAAAGGAACCTCTTTTGAAGAAGTCTTCTTCTAAACCAGTCAGTGGTTCTAGACAGCTTCTAAACTGGGAGAATTTTTTTTTAATTATTCCACAGCAAAAATGTGCGCTTCTTTCTTGAAACGGATGTTTGACAACATCCTTGAGGTTTCTCTTAGCTTCCCTCCAGTATTTCCTCAATGAACACTCGCAAAAGATTTGTTGCTGGTCCTGTGCTACTTTCGGGAGAAAATATTTTCTCGAAATAAACCTAGCGCACAACCGTTTTAAAGGAGGGAGATTTCACAAGCAATTGTCCTGTTCCATAGTATATTATTAGCCTTTGAAATGATCGAATGGATGATTATTTTTTCAATCTGAGCAAGGGGAAACTAATCATTTAAGTAAGAGTTATTTCCATATTATGCATTCTCTTTCAGCCCAACCCACTTCATGGAGTAGTAGTTGTGGGGGGAAATAGGAAGAAGAAAGAATATTAGGGATGCGCGTTGCCTTGAGTTATTTGTCAAAATAATAGACCGGATATACACAAATAGATTATCAATAAATATTTGAGGTGTGTATTTCATCCTTTGCAAAGGTTGAATTATCCTTAAGGAGGATGGGTACAGACATTTGCACACACACACAAAAAAGGTTCTTATTTTTAAACATCGAACAGATACAACAACTGTAGCTTCCTTCCCGAAAGAGTTCAGCTCATTTCCTTGCTTTAAGGTCAACCCTGAGTTTTACCGCCCTATAATATAAAAGCCCCAAGGCGGTTATAAGAAGAATCTACCATAGGCAAATTGAATTGCCCAATCTGTGTAAAGGGATTGGCTATTGAAAAAAGGGGATGGAGAGATTTTTCCCTTTGACCTGGGTGGACCAAGTATTCTGGACATTTATGGATGATGTTGACTTGATAAACAGCTCTTGCTGGGTGTGGATATCCTCGTATTTCATAGTATTATATAATAACCAGATTTCAGGGAGCAGGGAGAAGCCTGGGATTTTCAGAAAGCTTTTTTTTTTTTTTGCTATTCAAATGCTATGCAAAGTAGCATCATTATGATGCAATTTCTTATGGCTTTATGAGTAATTTCTCCTTCAGTTCCTCTTACGACTTGTTTAGCAGTTTACTTTTTAGATTTACCTTCCTTAAATTTGAATTATTTCCCCCCCCTACCCCCATTGGGACGGTTTTCTCCTCCATTCGTTTCTAAATGCAACTCATTAAATGTCCAAACTGGGATTATGAGACGAGAATTCTGCAGTGGCCCAGCCATTCATCATCTTAATATCA